CGGTCTTGCGGCAACCACATGTGACGACCCCGGGCTGGACTCCGCTTCGTCCACGGTGATAGCCGATCCGGCGATCCACAGCGCAAAGTTGTTGTACTTCCTCAGCGACCAGCACGGATCAGCTCCAGGTATGACGAAGCGGATATCATCCTCTTTTGGAAGGCCAAACAAAGTAGTTTAGCTTTCACAACGAAACACACAGCGCCTTCACGACATGGCGGTGGCAACAACAATACTACAGCGAGAATAAAAGTTACGCCTTCTTTCTTTGCGTGAACATTTGGGCGGCGTTATGCAAATCTTCCCAGATAGTGACGTAGATATGTTGGGGCGTGTTAGAACGAGCCGTTTTAGGTAGGCGTGGTTGACTCTTAACTTTTATAAAGAATATCTCTTTGGATTTGAGACTTTAGTCTTTGCAACTTTACAGATCCTCTTTATGCACCAAGAGCTTGTAACACTCCAAAGAGAAAGGAAAAATTGAAATCGCATCATATGACCCCTTTAACTGATAACTACTCGGTTCATTATACACACAACACAGGAAATGCAGTTTTTCTCATCGTTTACACATTTATCACAATTGCTTTAGAGTATTAATACAGTTTTTCTCAATCGATTTGACACTTTTCTCCAATGCAATGTACTTGTTCTCAAAACAATTAGCACAGCCATCCAAACACAAAATTATCTTAACCAAACAGTTCAACTTTATTGCAAAATGAAGCACTGCAATTTTTTCTAATGCATTTATTAAAAGTGAATATTAACATCAAATCTATAGGTGTGTTCTCTATTGATTATAAAAACACATTCAGCTGTTGATACACAAATATGCTAATGAAAATACATGTTTATTGCAATTCTTCAACAGGGAGTTTTGTTTTATATATTGTGTATACCTAAACTAAATAAAAATTGTTATCCAAATCCTATCACCCATGTGAAAAACTAATTGCCCCTTTAAACTTAAAATCTGTTTGTGCCACCTTTAGCAGCAAGAATGGCAAACAAACTTTTCTGATAACTACAGATCTTTACACACACACATACACACACACACACGTGTGTTTGCTGTATACATTAATTATCCTGTTATCCTGAATTATTGATCTTGCCTTTCATTTACATCTGAAAGAGAATTTAATTGCACTTTATCTACACTACGTTTGCTGCACTTGCATCACAGGAGAAAAATATAAGTAGGTTGAATCCATGCTTAACAAGCTCCTGTCTCAACATCTCCACAGGCCTCTTCCTTTGTGACTGGTGTGATGTTGTTCTGGACCATATCAATGCTCTTGTTCCATTCAAAATAAACTTGATTGTGTGTGAAAACCGGTACTGGAAAGTTTTGTGAATGTGCAATGACATAGAAATACCATAATGACAAATGGAACGAGCTGTTGTTTTTGTAGAATGAAGTGTCATAAATGACTGTCATGTTATTCTAAAATTTGCCATCCACTCATCGTCTGTGAATTGAAGCAGAACAACATACCATTAGTCATCACTTTATACTCTCATCCACAGACAGCTTGTTTTGGCCGTGGGAATGGGTGGTTTTACTGCTTGATAAATATAAGCAGCACAGTACAAAGCTGCATATGCTCATCGTCTCCTAATTGGGATCCAAGATGAATATGAAGTCTGCTCTTTAAAACAAAGAAAAGAAACAATGTCTGGAGAATAGTATGTGGGACATACTATACAATATACATACTATACTGAAAATAGTACAGCGGGAAACTCTGTATAAGTTTGCAGTGTGCACATGCCAATAGATCAAATCCGATATTGAAGCTTGTGACATAAACGTGCACATCGACCCGGTCACTTTATTTAGCATTCATGTAAATACTATATCTGTGACTTTGTAGTGTGACCTCCACCAAATCACCTTGAGTAGAATAAGTGGTGTTGGGCATTGAGGTATACAGTAATTCTATGCCAGGGGTGTCCAATCCTGTTCCTAGAGGACCACTCTCCTGAACCAAGCTCCAAGCCTAATTAAACACACATGAACCAGCTAAACAAGGTCTTTAGACTCACTAGAAATGAAGCTACTTCAACACAAGCCTCCAAGGTTAGCGAAGAAAAGTAAGTAAATAATAGTAAATAATAATAGTACAGATTATTTTCCCTGATAAAACATTCAGCAACAATTTCAGGGCTATTAGGGGCTACACAGAGATAGTATTGGTGTTTTGCGTGATGTGTAATTTTGTAACTTTGGTTAATATTTGGTTATGTCAGCTGTGATGCATGCATGTAAGGCTCATCACTGCAAATACACATTTACATTCACTCACAGTTCATTTGAAAACCAAATCTGCACCTAATCTTCTAAAACTAAGGAATACATGCAAAATGGTTGCATGGTAAATAATTGATATGTTCTAGTATTTTCTATTTCAAACTTCTTCAAAGGATTTTCTGAATGTCCAGTGATTGCTCGGTACTCTGGATAGTAAAAAATACAATATGAAGTTATCATATTTTTGAAGTTTAAGTATCTTCTTTAGTACACAGGTTCATGACTTGTCCTGAATTGTTTTCCTTTTTGTGTTGGAGTGTGCTCCCCAAGAAATGTCAAATGCTGGTTACACTTTATTTTGATAGTCCACTTTAGACATTCTACTAACTATAAGTAACTTTGTAACTACATGTCAACTAATTCTCATTAATTTGCAACTACATGTCTACTAACTCTCAGAGTGGACTGTTAGGTTAGGTTTAGGGTTAGGGTTAGTAGAATAAGTTGACATATACTTGCAAAGTTTCTTATAGTCAGTATGTTGTATGTTGTGGACCCATCAAAATAAAGTGTTAGAAGATATTAAGCAGACAGACTACTAATACTCCAATAACTGCTAGTCGACCTGTAGTTGCCAAGTTACTTACTGTTAGCAGAATGTCTAATGTGGACTATTGAAATAAAGTGTTACCCAAAAGCTTGCTCTCAAATGTCTTTGCATTCAAAAGCAGAAAATGGCCTCACATACACTACAGTATAGGCTACTGCAATTTTCTGCCTTTGAATGCAAAGTTGACTTTTATAGAACTACCCATTATCAGGTCTGAAATGTCTTCATCAGTTCTTCCTCAGGGCTTCACATTCATGTTGTGCTTTTGATCTTACAGTTACTGTCACAATAGCATAAAAAAATTATACAGCATTTGAGTGCAGTGAAACTACCTACCTGCAGAGTTCAGTTCCAACCCTGCTTCAGCACACCTGCCTGTAATTATCAAGTGCTCCTGAAGATCTTAATTAGCTGGTTAAGCGGTTTGATCAGGGTTGGAACTGAACTTTGCAGGAAGGTAGATCTCCAGGACTAGGCACCCCTGGAATTTATCTTATCCATACTTTTTAAATAGCTACTTGGAATGATTTAATAAGTAACAGAGTGATTTTTATTGGGATGTACAACACATTTAATTCATTATGTTGGATCCTACATGAATCTTACCTGCACCTGTGTGCCTCCGTTCGCACCTTTCACTTCTTTAGCTACGGCCCAGCCTAAAGGCAAATGCTTGCCAGTTTGTTTGGATGCTGTCCAAGATATGCTTTACTAGATCTGATTTGCATTTCTGCAACTAAGTATTTCCACAGAGTACCAGAGAGAGTCCCATAAACCCATTTGAAAAAGAATAAGAGAAATTCCAGCTTTGCAAAATATGTTCTGATGGTTTAACAGCTGGAGACTGTGTGTGGAAATTAGCTTTCTTTGTCTGTTTCTTTTGTTTGTTAAAGTTAGGAGACAAACAAATAAAAAAAATGTTTTTTTGTATATTGTTCAGATCAAAATTAATTCTGGGACCACTGCATGAAACCAACTTGGGGCACATGCAAAAATGTTTAATTCCATATTTACCGGCCCGCAGTTTCTTACCTATGAGGTTCATTTGACTGGTTAAATGCACCCGTTTTGTTTGTCTGTGAAGGTGTGCTGTGATTGGTCACACCATCACACTAATTTGTCATTGGCTGTATGTAAGTTAAAGTAAGAGAGAGTCAGTGTCATCATGCACAGTTCTGTACTCAACTTCAACTGATCACTGAAAAAAAAAACAAAAAAAAAACAGAACGTCTTCAGTGGAGGAAGATGAAGACGACACTCGCTCTGCTCCTAATCATGGAGCTCTGCGGACTCCCCTCCGGTCTCAAAGAACATTTCTTTGTAAAAGAGAAGATGACATGGGATTCTGCAAGCAAGTACTGCAAAACTTACTTTCATGACCTTTCCACCTTCACCAACGAGAACGAGGAACAGCCATTTTTGGAAGATGCAGCTCATCAACCTTCTCATGCCTGGGTTGGACTCTACAAAGAATCAGGAGTCTGGAAGTGGTCAGGAGGTGAAAATGCAACATATATTAACTGGGATACAAGTAATAAACAACCTGAAAATGGCTGTGCTTTTCTACACAAAGGCCATAAGAAACTACATGACATAGACTGCAATGATAAATACTCCTTCTTCTGTATGAACATATCAGAGTTTGTTCTGGTGCTGCGGAATGAGGCCTGGGAAGGAGCTCTGGAATACTGCCAAAAACAAAACAATGATCTAGCAAGTCTGAGTTCACTTAGCATGATGGATTCTGCTTTAGGGAAAATCACACAGGCTCAAACTGAATATGTGTGGACTGGTCTGCGCTTTCTAGCAGGGGACTGGTTCTGGGTCAATGGAAATGTTCTTGACTACACAGCCTGGTCTAAGACAGGACAGCCCCAGTGTCCTGCCAGAGACCTTCGTTGTGGAGCCCTGGACACGCAAACAAGGGATTGGACAAACAGAGATTGTGAAGAGAAGCTCAACTTCTTTTGTTCTGCACAGGCAGTAAAAGGTAGGCCACCTGTTCGTCTCACAAGCCCAACTCCCCAGGAAGGGCATAATTACAGTGGACCATGCTTAGGTTTATGGATCTTTACGTTTGTATTTTTCCAGAAACTGCATATAATTTTATTTTGATACAAGTAGTTTTATATGCCTCAAATGTAAGCTTCTTTAATTGAGAATGCATATTATATTCATACATATTTTTATATGTTTGTCTTTTGTTATAAGGAATACTTTTAGGAAAGTTATAATTCTGCCTATATATATTTTTTATATTTTGCAGTTCAACAGCAACAAAAACAACAATAACAACAAGAAAACATCTTGCAAAAGCCCCCCACCCAGTAGTATATGTGAATCCAGCATAACTACAGTAATATGTGATTATCTGTATAAATACAGATAATAATAATAATAATAAATAAATTACCAATTTTACAGGACTTTCAAAACCCTGCAAATACACTGCAAAAAAGCCTGTCCAACATATCCTGCGGGTTACCAGAGCAATCGTCTGGTGATTATTTTCACCAACAGAGCGAGCTGCGAGCTACACTTATTACTTGGTCGTGCACCACTATTTTAGACATGAAGAACCTGGATGAGAGATTGTCTTCAATTATCAAAAGAAACACATGTAGGCTACTATATAACAGGGCTGAACAGGATGTGAGATTTTGTATGTTTTTTTTTTTCTTGTACATAGATTTGTGTCACAACGCATAATTAACACACATATCTTAATTGAACGACTTGGGTAAAAGTACACACACACACACCTTCCTAAAATGCAAAATAATGTGTCTAATTAGAGATATTAAGAACCCGTGCCCAAAACACAAATTTTAAATGAAATCTGAAAAGTTTAAAAAGTTTTATTTTGTCTATATATTCACGGTTTGTGAAAATGATAGAAATTAATTAGAAAATGTCAACAAATATATTTGTTAAATGCAGTTTTATTTATCATATGTTCTCGAATTGGTTTTATTTTTGAAATGTGTTTTTTGTAAAGTTATAATCTTATAATATACAATTTGATCGGTTTGATTTTTGCAATGGTTACTGTTTACTATTTGTCATTATGTGATTTTTGGTGAATTGTATTAAAACCAGTTAGGTTAACCTGCAAATATCATAATAAATATAAATAATAAAACATGGAACCCGCAATAATAACAATAAAAAAAAATTTAAAAAAAACATACAAAAACATTGTGTCCTGTATTTTTTTTAATTAATAGATCATAACAAGTGAGATTTCAATGATATTTTGACCACTGCACTGTAAAAAATGATGTGATGAAAAAGCCATGACAACTCATTCGGTGCAGGTCGAGCTGGAGGCCCTGGAGAAGCAGATCCGCGACCTGGTGGAGAAGCAGGCCTCTGCTGCCTCCAGACGACGGCGCTCTGCACCTGATTTTTAGACTGGCGTCGTAGAACGCACAGAGCACGTTGTCTGGGTAGCTGGTGGTGCTTGCTTGCAGCTGGAAAAGTCTAATATGGTCCTTGAGAGCTTTGTCCCCCTGCTCCAGCAGGAGGAGGTATTCGGGGCGAAGAACGGCATCCATCCAGGGAACACAATGGAAAAAAAGACACTGGGAAAAAGAAGAAAACAAACGGAGAGGAAAACACAGAGGTGACTGTATTCGGTCGGAACTTCTGTCACAATACGCTGTTTAGGAAGCACGCAGGAGGCATGAGTAATCCACGGAACACAGGAGAAATCCACACAATAGGCACTGGAAAACACATACATAAATGGTAGACCCGACAAACACAGAACGCAAAAGGCATTGACTTAAATACAAGAGGACAGGAACATGACCAAATACATGACCAAATAAGGACAAACAGGAACAGAAACAGGTGCAAAACATGACACAGACAGTCCAGAATCCTGACAATGGGTCTAAAAACCCGTATTCATTTCCCATGTTATTTCAAACTTCGCTGGGCTTTTTTTAAATCTTTTGAAATCAGTTTATTTGAGCATTTAATATTCCCTGCTCTATAAATTACATGATCCATAAATATTCATAATATCTTTTCAATGACCACAAATTAATATTTATTGATTTTTTCCTAGGTTTTGTGTTACTACATCACATTTACACACATGGGTCAAAAATTACCCATCAATGTAAACATGATAAAACAAAAGAATAAAGAGATTTCGATAAAGAGATAATTATTTTAGCAGCTATTTAGATCAACACATGTAACACTTGAAATATGTTTATTTGCCACTTTGTCACACATAACATACACATATCACTGATAACCGATAACACTGAAATTGAACTGTCTGTAGTGCAACTGTAGTGAAT